CTGCATTAATATTACACTATATCAGGTCAAAATACAAAGTGAAAATACTTAGACCTGGTTGCTGTCAAGGGTGAAACTGTTCACTGTGAGCAGTCCATGGTGCGTGTGTCTCACCAGAGCCTCCTTTGTCAGTGGGACCAGTGCCTGGCTCTTGGATGCTGTGCTTCAGCCAGGGTGTATGGAGGGGCTGGGAGCACTCAGACAGGACAGAACCAGCTACTTCACACCCCCAGGCACGTTCCAAGGACAGAAGCAATGGCAGCATTGGTGTCTGGCAATATGAGACATCCAGAGGAGGTGCAAGCAGAGCTAGGGCACAGCACAAGTGTCTGCTCAGCATCCCTTACAAAAGGTCAGCAAGCATGTCCCTGCCTGGGGGCTACACAGCCCTGGGGATGATCTACATACACAGTTTTGTATCAACCAAGTACAACTGCCTTGCACTATGATTCTTGGAGGAATAGGCTAAAGATCTCTCAGGACAAAGAATGGTTCTTTTTCATACATTTTACAATAAAAGGAGACTGGAAGAAAGCCATGCTCTCAGAGGGGGTGAGCTGTATAGTCACAGAGCAATTAACCTTTTGATCAGTGCAGGAGCACTATTAGTATGGACGATAGCAGGCTCCTTTGAAAAGGTGGTGATATAATTTGTACCAGCTGATGTGATTTAATGGAAAAATAGACCTTTTCTAATGAGCTTAATAGTGCTTTTATGAGGGATTTATGGTGGTGAAATAGATTTATAAATGAATATGACTTGCTATCAATATTTGTCTTAAAATGTCATAAAATCCATATTAAATGGACTAAAAGTGGCTGAGACATTTCGAAGTGGTTTTAGGGTTGGAAAAGCATCAGTGGACACGCCTGTATTGGCTTGATTTGTGGTTCAGTGTAATTCAAAACTTTTTTAGTGATTAAGAGGAAATATTTAAGAGCTGTTAATCAAGATGGATGATGAGACAGAGATTTTGAAAATTGGAAGGCAAATTACTCAAATTATAACTTCTGTTGTTTGATGCCCATAAACAACAATACCCAGGAAAACAAACAAACAAACAAACAAAGTTATTTCATTAGCAAACCCAAACCAGAAGAAAAAAAAAAAAAAGTCGATTTGGGCTGAACCAGTTTCTTCCTTCCGGAGGTATTTTCTTCTGGGTAGTAACAGCAGAAGTAGGCAGCCCAAAAGCTGATGGTTGAAGCAAAGAAAAACCCAACCAGCCCTCCTTACCCCCCACATTATTAGGAACTTCCAAGCACTTAGAAATGACAACAATCCACTAATGTTACAGGTGCATGTGTATGTAGAAAAAAACTGAGACATGGGAAAATTGTATGCATTGTACTTTTGGTTGTATGAATTGTATGATGTTGGAGCCAAGGAATATGCTGAATGAATTCACTTACATTTACAGAGCATCACTTCAGAGAGGAGCAGGCTTAGCAAGAAACTACAGCAACATGCAAAGCTGCTTTGCCTTTAGAAGTTCATCTTTGCCTCATCCAGGAGAAGCAGAAAGGTGACTGGGTCAGCCTTGAGGTGCATCCACTTGAGAAGGTTTCTGTGTGATCAGCAAATTAGCGGTGTTACAGCATGGTGAGTTATGCCTCTGGTCAGGGCTAGTTTTGGAAGAGATGCCCCCTTCTCAAAGGCTGCCTCTGGGGGCTGGTTGCGGGGGCCATGGCTGTAGTCATGCGTGAAGTCAGGGGGTGCATTGCAGAGACAAGGGAAAGAACATTTTCCTCAGACCGTGCTGTGGGACAGCATTTCTAGGAATCCCACTGCTGGCTGGGGGACTCTATGGGGACAAGTGTGTCCTCTCCATGTGTTTTTTAGAGAGGTCAGGCCCTGAGATCAGAAACGTGGCTGCATGCAGTGTCAGGCATAGGCATGCACTGAGCTGATTCATCCAAAGTCAGACCCAAATGCTCCTTCCGGGGCTCTCTGCTCCCAGATCGTTAGCTGTAATTCAATGAAAGCACACATGTATGTGGATAAGATGCAGCCTTCATTACCGGAACGAAATCTTACCCACTAACGGGTGTGCCAGAGAAGTCAATGGTTGCACTGAGAGGCTGCACTGTACAGGATTTTATGCAAAGAGTGCTTGGGGATGGGGTATGAGAGAAACAAATCAGGAGTTCAGCACAGCTCCAGGCCCCCTCCCCACAGCAGGGCTTGGTGCCAGGGCAGCTCACAGGGGAGTTAAGTGTCACCAGGGCTTCTGGGGCCTTGGGGACCAGTGACACGCTGGTTAGCACCTCTTAGGGGTGTGGAAGCTGCTCTGGTTCCTCACCAATGCTGTCTTGTAGAGCAGATCAGAGGTCAAACATGTATTGGGGTGGGGATGCCCGTGAGAAAGATGGGCAGTGTTCTGCCCTTTGTCCAGCTGTGCACCCAGGCAATTTCCTACCCAATCCCAAGGTGCCTGGCATGAAGAGGAGGAAGAGTGGGCCACTGTTAGCCTCTGGAAGGCACACCAGGGAAGACAGCAGTGACAGGAGAGGCTCTGGCCCAGCAGCACGTCCTCACAGCTCCTATGTCATGCCCTTCCCTGTTTTCAGTGACACAAAGCAGCCATCTTCTTGTGCGCTCATGCATCCCACAGCACGCTGCTCTGAGATGAGAAGGGACTGAGGCGGGAGGGCCCAGTGCTGTCAGGAGGGCAACAGCCTGGAGTAGCTTGGCTCTGGGCAATGACCGCTGAAGCAGCGTTCCCGTGCTCCCTACCTCCTCCCACGGCCTGCTGCTTGGCTGCAGCGGAGCCGAGGGACACATCCCACACGCGCTTGTGTATGGGGGTGAGCATGTGTGTGTGACGTCTTTCCCCAGCAGTGATGGTGGGAGGGAAAGCTCCCACTGTTCCATAGCCTTGTCTCTAGCTGCCTGGGGAGGTAGGGTGGGGGATGAGGGATGCCACAGTGCGCACCACAGACGTTTGCTATCCTTTATCTCCTGTGAGCCTCCAAAGCACCGCACAGCCAAGAGATGCATTTGGCCAGGGAGCCCCCAGCCCATCATCACTGCTGAGTTCTCCATGCTGCAGGTGAAACGAGCCAGAGGTGACGTGATAGGCATAAGAAGTGGCGTGAGCTGCTGCTTCTCTAACTGGCAGGGAGGAGGAGACTGGTATTGAGCACAGCACAGTCTGTGCCCTGTGAGAAGAGGCTGACTATAAAGGGTGAGAGATGGAAGGGCGTACTTTTGATTGGGGACCAGCTGGAGCAGCTAAGAGGATATTAAACTGCAACAGCTGGGAAACACAGCTTAGAGGAGAAACAGCACACAAACCCAAACTCCTCTCATGGGGACCACACTGAACCAGTCTGTATTAATGAACTGGAAAAAGCGAAATTTCAACTGCAGCAGTTCTAGGAGTCTGCATACACAGTCCACAGAGGATGGACTTAGTTGCAAAGCTCTCTGGGCTGGCTGTTGTGGTGGCAGTGTTAGAAATTTCTTATTACAGCCTGCTCACACAGAAGTTGGGGAATGCAGAAGGTGACTTGATGGTGGCAACACCAGCCAGCATTTGAGTGTCATTAGAGCCATGCAGCAAACATGCTTACAATCCACAGAGAAGTGTGACATTCCGAAATCTGGTTACATGCCAATTTGCAGAGAAACTGCAGGATTTCTGTGTTCTGCACAGAGGTTCCCTGCCCTTGCAAGCAGCCTTTGGGAGCCTCCTGAGCCAGGAGGTCGGGCTCTGGCTGCCAAGGTTAGGGTCAGGGTTAGAGGTTGCAGACACCTTGGCCATGTCAGCCAGCTGAGCTCTTGAATTGCTTGAATAAATGTGCTGCATTCATGGCACCTTGGGATTAACATGCATACAACACATTTCACATGTTTGAGAGTAAAATTAAATATTAATTAATTAATTAGTTTTTTTCATGTAGGCTATATTCTGCCCTTTGGCTTCTCTTCTCCCCAAACAGAAGACAGCAGAGAGCTTTGGCACCAACTCTGCCAGTGCTCAGTTGCTTCCTACAGATCCGTACAAGTGCTGTCAACTCACCAACACTAAAAACAAAAGGGCATTCACTCAAAGTTTTACTGCCCTGAGCTGAAGCTAATTTTCAGTCCAGAGAGTGCAGAACCTGCAGGTATGTGCCACAGGTTTGGCAACAGGATAGTCACATTCGTACAAAAGCATTTTAGAGTTAATTCAGCAGTTAATAATCTGAGAGGATACAGTGTGCCAAGGCAGGTAAACTAGCCTGGGATTTGGGTTGTGCATGCTGCTGGCTGTAGGCTCTAGAGACACAGGAGGGAAAAGTTCACCCTGCAACTTCTGCAGGTCATGGGCAGAGTAGGGGTTTCTGGGGAGAGGGAGCAGTGGTGGCGTGGGCAGTAAGCCTGCTGCTGAAATGAAGCTTCCTTATTTCACAGCAGGAGCAAGTGCCTGTCTGCCCAATGCTTTCCTCTCTTCCATAATGATTGTACAGGCTGTGCTGAGCTGCAACTCAATAAATGCCAGTCAACTTTCTCTCTCCAGAGAGACAACTGCTTTCTGCACCCTCCAAGGGCTGAGGACAAGTAGGGTAGCTGAAGTCATTCTGCTCTCCCTTGTGAGTACAGCAGAGCCAGGCAGTGCAGCCACCACCAAACATTCCCACAGCCAGGGGTTTCACAGGTTCATTCTTTAGCACACAGTAGCTTCAACACTGCTGCAAATTCCTCTCTGGGCAGGCATAGTTATGCCTATTGTTTTAATTAATCATCTTCCCTTGGAGACTCAGGGACTCCTGATTCCCAAGGTCTGGCTTTTGATGAGGATGAAATGCAATACATCTAAGGCAGCTGTGTTGCTAACCTCCTCCTGTCTTTGTGCACATGTACATGAGCTGTCCCCAACTGTTTTTGTGCCAGGACACACACATTTTAGATTCCAGTAGCAGTATGCCCCTCAGAGGTTTTTTTTCAGCCCCACCAAAAGCATATACCCCCACGCCTCTAGAATTAAACAGGACAGTCTCGTCTGCCTGGGTCATTCCCTGATGGATTTACATTCTTCTTTTCTTACAGCTCTGTTTTCTGCATTTCTTGGGATTATAGGAACCTTTTGTGTTTAAAATTCTTGTCTTGTTTTCTCCAGGTTGCTTTAAATAGAAGGGGAAAATAAACTGAGGAGCCACCAAAGCTTATCTCACTCCTCGGAATTGATGCTCTGACCGTTTTTACCATCTGTGCCCCTCTGAAAATCTCCAGCTTTTATCTTCACCATCCACCTTTTGCAATAGAGGAAAGCCCCCAAAGCTCTTTCTGCCCTTTTAAAAGAATCCACCTCTGCAGCCAGACACCAAGCTTTATTTCTGGTAAGGTTTTCAATCCCACTCGCTCCTTCGTCTTGGCTTATACGTCACCCTCTTCCTCTTGGGTGGGCAAAAAGGGGATGGGTGCTGCTGCTGTGCTGAGTCCTGACTGGGTCACCTAGTGCTGCTGGGCTGTCTGTGCTAGGCTATAAAACAGAGCCCAGGCAGCGCAGCTGGCTCAGAGAGCAGACTGAATTCTGCAGACGCAAGGGACCCACGCGCAGCCTCTGCTGCCTCCTGCGTTGTTGTTTTTCCTGGAATACAGAACCAACCTCTGGAGCAAGATGTGCAAGGGACTTGCTGCGCTGCCAGCCACTTGCTTAAAAAGGTACTGTTTATTTCTGAGCATCTGTTAATGGTCTTGTTAGGCTGATGTATTGAACTTGGTGTCTGAAGCACACGTGGCAGATTCAGCTCTGCTGCTTTTCTAAGATGAGATATAAATGCTTGCTTACAGGCTGTTTTTTTTCTGTTAGTCAGAAGCAGAATTGCATTAAGGTTTTGTACTGAGCTGTGCGAACTCTAAACCCATCCTTCTCATCAGCAAAACAAGCAGCTCTTAGCATCGCTATATATTGATATTCCTGTCATCTACTTCTGCCACAAGCATTGCACCCCTTTTCTCCTTTGAATCCTTTCTCTGCTGAATTTTCCTTTCTTGATTTTTTGAGGGAGAAGGAAGGCAGGAAAGATATATGGGGAAAAAAAAAAATAGAACTGAGAGTCATTCTCCAAAACGCATCCCAAGTGCAGAAAACCAGCCTGGCAGGACAAGGCAGGGCTGCAAGCCAGCCCAGGGCAACGCGGATCTGGATGCGGCACCAGCCAGTGCAGGGTCAGACTGTATTCCCAGGGTGTGCAGGGGTGATGAGGGACCCAGGGCAGGCTGTACGCTGGTGCACAGTGCTGTGGGGCTGGTGTGGGGCTGGCCATTCCTGGTGTGCTGTGCTGATCAGGAAGGGCTGAACTGTACCCATGACATGGGTGCATGATCTGGCTGCACCTCCGTGTGCGGTGCCAGCCAGGCATCCCTGTGCTCCCAAACATGCCCTTGGCTGCATGGCCTGCCCTGCAACTCAGTGTGAGGGGGTCTCTAAGCCAGCAAGGTGGCCACGAGCTCTCATGGAGGGGTGTTACTCCCTTTCAGGTGCTATGGGGCCTTGAGACCCGCAGCAGAGTGGCCCAAGTCCCCAGAACAGCACCATTCTCACGTAAGTCCCTGCTCATCCAGCCCATGCAAACTTGCATGGGTCTCTGATGGTGCAGTGCTTTCCAGCCCCTCATGCCTTCAAGCTGCTTCCCAGTGGCTGTGCAGTGGGAGAGGGTTGGGAAAAAGCAAACTGAGACTCAGCCTGCTCCCATCTAGGAGAAAAAGATCCCACTCATGGTGGATTTGAAAACAAGGGCTGAAAATGCAAGGAAGAAATATTGACACCCTCCCCCCGAAGTTGCAGGAACATCTGATGGGGAAAAAAAAAAGAACATTTGAAAAAAAAGGGGGGGAGGGGGAAGTTCACATCTTTTAACCCTTCTGTCCAGGATTCCCAAGAAAATCCCTCTCTCCCAGAGCTGTGGGACCCACTGCAAGCAGCAGCGTCTTGTTTCCCCCTGCTGCTGCCTTCCTGAAGACCTGAGCAGTCATCTTCCAGGGGCAAGCAGCATGACAGCACGAGGCGGCTGAGTCTGGCAGTGCAGAGGACCCAACATCTGCCTGGGCAAGGCCAGGATCCTGGCCCTTATCACATGCACCCTGCTCTATAGAAGCTCTAAGTTCCCTTCACTCTCACCCTAGTGCTGCAGTTGTTAAGGAAACATTTATGAGCACAGGAAAGTAGTGAGATAAAATATGGTTGAGGCTTCCAACAGGGTGCTATGGCCGGAGCAAAGAGCAGTGCTGGGAGGCTGAGCAGCTAGCAGAGCTCAGCCCCTACACAACCACTCGCTCTTCTCCAGGCTCTGATCTGAGGAACAGGAGAATAATTTCCTGCTTACACTATCATTGCACCATGCAGCAGGCCAGGGCTTACACCCTTGAGCAAGCAGGACTGGTTTACTCATCCCCTCCTACAGTTCTTAAACTGGAAGGAAATCCAGAGACATGCTGAGGGCAATACCAGCTGTATACCTAGATGCTGTTATTAGGCAATGATTGTCCTGGGCATGCTGGAAGGCAGAAAAAAATTAAGCATGCATCTGTGAGGAGCTTGCTGTGGAACAAGGGAGTAGCCTGCAGTTAGTTTGGGCTGGTTGTGGTGAAGCTTGTGGCTCAGCCCCTGATCTCCCCCCACAGTCCTGCTCTGAGCCCTTTGCTTCCTCCCTTCTCTCTGTGTCACAGGCAGCTGCTTGGTGGTGTGGCCTGGCATGGCCCTGCTGTTCCTGTAGATCAATGATGAGGCAGGGAGATGGCAGGGGCTGCAAGAAAGGATTAGCAAGGGTGTAAAAACCAGACATTGGTAGCTGTGTGAATCAGCTCAAGGAGAAGTGACACATTTACAGTGCAGTGGTGCCTTTCTATCATAATACTGTAATTGTAAACAAACAGTAGGAAAACAGCAGCTTCTCCCCCTTTGCGAGGCCGCCTCCAGGCTGATGACCTTCTCAGCAAGAAAATGGTACTGTTGAACGTGAAAAATTACTTCTTTGACTTTGTTGTGTTTGTCTAGCAACAGAAATGTGCATTATGTGAGGAGTGGAAAGTCAGCACTAGCAGCGACCTGCATTTGTGTCATGAGTAAAGCTAAAGGAGCTTATTGTGGGTGAGGACACTGCAGAGGGAATTGTAATGCATTATCTTCATCTCGTTCTTGAATTGTTTCTTTCAGTGCCAAAGACATGAAGCATCGTCTGGGCTTCTTGCTGCAGAAGTCAGACTCCTGTGACTACGGCTTTTCCCAGGGCAAGAAGGAGAAAATATCTTCAAGCCAGAGGTAAGACCAGATGCTGCCATGTAGTTAAGCCCAGGGTGGCTACAACATGTTGTTTACTCCTTCACTGAGCTGAACTTCTTTAGCTTTTCTACTGCTGCTTCCCAGTACCTCCCCAATAACCATGCTTGAATCTAGTGGGGCAATAGTTCTTAGGTATTGATAGTCCCTTTCCATGCAGCAGGTTGAACTAGATGTCCCTTTCTGCCAACACTTCTGTGATTCAGTATGCATATGCAAATGGAAAGATTTCTGCAGGGGAATAATGCCATTACAAGACCCAGCTACTGTTCCCCTGACAGGTTAAAGAAAGCAGCTCTTTGGAGTTTGATGGTATGACCTGTAAGAGCGATCCCAGGTCCGTGCGCCAGCAAGAGATGCAGCCAGTCACAAAATAAACACAAAGTCCCCAACAATTTTTCTGGCTGGTACCAGGGATTGCAAACCAGAATTTCTGTAATTAGATCTGGGATGCTCAGGGGTCTCTCTAAAGGAATCAGACATTTCTTTCTTGGTCTTTTCTGTATGCTCTTAGAACAATCAGGGAAAAAGATTTTCGAATGGTGCAAAGCAAAAAAAATTGTCTCTTCTGTATGCCCCTTAAATCTTCCCTATGTTTCTCCCTTTGTCTCCTTCTAGGGTTAGCCAAGAGGAAGTCAGAAAGTGGGCGGACTCTTTGGAAAACTTGATCCATCATGACAGTAAGTAGAGAGGGCCCTTCTGCTGCTGAGTGTATGTGCTGTGAGCAGTCTCTGGAGGTGGCATGGAATGTTATATCTCTTAGCAGCACACAGTACCTCTTTTGGCCACACAGGCCTCTGGGATGGGTGGTGAAGTGTCCCCTTGGTGAAATCCCAGGGACAATCCCGAAGTATCAAGAGCGGGGCTTTGACCTGTAGCTGAGCTGTCCTTTTTGTGAATGCAACTGGTTTATCCCCTGTGCAAGGGGAGTGCAACACTGCAGCACACAGTTAACAGTGGGTTAAACAAGAACCAAAAAAAGTGGAGAAACTGAGCCCATGGGAGACTTTGTCTTCCTCTGGGTTCCAGGCCACACTGATGTCCTTGAGGTTTCCTTTGTGCAGTTCCCATGGCCTGAGACTGTGGTGTCTGTTGGCTGTCTCCTCAGGGCCTACTGGGAACATGTGAATTGCCTGATTTCTCTTGGCTGAGACACTGGACCAGTCTCACAGTGGGAGAGCAGGGAGCTGGGGACCCACATGTGACATCCCCGTGGGGCCTGTCTGAATTCCAGGCTCCGTCAACAGGCACGAGCTGCACGAGCAACTGCCATTGAGGCAGGCAGCCATCCCTGCTGCTAGCTCCAGGGGAGCTGCTCATCCAGCTCTGGGAAGGACAACCCAGAATTGCTGTTTGCTGGAGTTCACGGGTACAACTATCCAGGAACCAACTCTCCTACCTGATCTGTTTTTTCTCTAAACAATTTGTAGGAGGACTGGCTGCTTTCCGTGCCTTTCTCAAATCTGAGTACAGTGAGGAAAACATCGAGTTCTGGGTCAGTTGTGAGGACTACAAGAAAACCAAGTCACCGGCCAAGCTCAGCTCCAAGGCCAGAAAGATCTATGACGAGTTCATCTCAGTGCAGGCAACAAAAGAGGTATGTGCACAGAACATTTCTTGGGCAAAGATACCACCCTGAATTCTGAACTAGGCCAGCAGCACAGGGTCGTAGAGACTGGTAATTTCACAAGAGTTGAAGGGTGCTGCTTCTCTGCTAGTTAGCAAGTAAATGGTGTCATTTTTATTGCTTCCATATTAAACTTGGATAGAGAGAAGGTGGATTTAGTTACAACCTTGTGGCCATCCCATCTGCATACTCAAATGGGAGAAGCCCAAGAAGAATATGATTCCCAGTGTTCTTGCTCCTCCCATGCAGTTGCGTTTCGTGGCTGGCTGCATCCCAGAGGGGTATGCGTCAGTCTTCCCTGACAGTTCATCTTACGGAAGGGATGCATTGGTATCCAGGTGTGCAGATTCTGCCAATGCTACGGGGTGTCAAACAGCCATTTCAGACATCTGCCCCCCAAGGACAGCTGGGCAGATAAGCACACTTGGCGGAGAGATGCTTGGATTTTCCATTACCTATGCTAGCCACTTCTGGGACAGGTTCTAATTACACTGTCCCTTTGGCCCACAGGTGAACCTGGATTCATGCACGCGGGAGAAGACAAGCCACAATATGCTGGAGCCTACACTGTCCTGCTTTGATGAGGCTCAAAGGAAAATATTTACCCTCATGGAAAAGGATTCGTACCGCCGTTTCCTCAAGTCCCCCTACTACCTGGACTTGGTCAGCCCACCCGCTGCTGGCTGTGGGCCCGAAAACTGCAAAAGAAGCCACACTCACACCTTAGACTGCAACTCTAACATCATCTCCCAGTGTGCCTGAACCTGCAGCAAGGCAGGAGCAGGCAGGGCTCTTGCAAGAATATATGGCAGCAAAAGCATTCATTGGCATGAAGCAACAGAGCTGTCTCCAATAGCTGTCTAATGTCCCAATTGTATCCCATGTCATGCAACAGCCAGCATTTGTAACCCAAGCCAGGTTCAGTCTCTGTAGCAAACCCTCCTCTGACTCCGTTGGTGTAGGAGCCCTGCAGTCTGTGTCTGACAGGAAAGCTGGGTGCAGTTCTTGCATGTTTGCTGTGTTTCTGGCGAGCCCTGCAAGCCCAGGAGGGTGATGGGGGAGTACATGCTCAGTCAGACCCACCACTACCCACCAAGGGACCAGGCTGGCAGTCTCGCAGTGTGACACCTAGCAAAAGAGCAGGGGAATGAGGAAGCCAAGGGAAGTGTTGGGGACTGTGGTCTCCCCTTTCTAATTGGCAAAAGCTTAGATAAAAAGGACTTGCTCTTGTCCTTAGCGATGTGGAGCTCTCCCCTCTGGGCACTTCTCCATCTGTAGCATCTAGTTTATGCTGGCCAAGGATCTTACCTAGGGATATAGAGAGCTATTGTTTTGGGGGAGGTTCATTATTTTGTATGTTACTCTGTCCCTCATGCTCCCAGGTTAAATACTGGAGCAGAGCAGAACAGAAACATGTTCCTTCTCTCCTAGATTGACAGATGTATATTCCTGACTCTGGGAGTGCCATTTGGATTCAGGTTTACCTGCCCTGGCTTTTATAGAACAGTTTGTGAGGGAATAGGACCACAACCACAACAGCTGGGGAGGAAAGACCCTGCTTGGGAGTATTTGAAAATGTCAGTTTGTCTTTTTTTAGTGTTATTTATGTGAGATTTTATTTCAATAGTAGCATGACTCACTTTATTTTTCTGAAAATGGTAGGAGGAATGTGTCAGTCTCATTATTGCTCCTGGGCTTTGCAAGAAGGCAGCTTAATTTTTAGTCACTGTGGTTAGACATGGCCTTCAATGGGGCTCTGGGACTGACACTGACCTGCACAAGAAATGAGTGCAGGGCTTGCTGTCTTGGGCTGCAGTACCAGGTATCGCACCCTCCCCCAGCCCTTAGTCTCTCCTTGGTTGGATATTGCTGCTCTGACGACCGTGTATTCCTTGCTCTGCATCCCAGTCCAGATAACAGTTCTCACAACGGGGTTTTGGAACAGCAAGAGGAAGCTGTGGTTCTCCAGTAGGCACTTCCAGGCCCACAGAGAGACATCTCTTTTAGCATTTGCTTTATTTTGTATTTATTCAACTGTACTGACACATACCACCATAGCATGTTCAGCTGAAAGATGGAGAGGCTTGCTAAAGCTCTGAACATAGCCAAGCATGTGGCTATGTTTTATTTCCCCTGGTATTGGGAATTCTTGATAACTATTATAAAAACTATATTGATACTTAAATAATAATGAATTCATTCTAAGTAAAAAAGTTTGTGTTAGTCCTTTCTAAAATGCTATTGTGTGAACCAAAGAAAATACATGGAGACCAAATTCACTGACCAAGGTTACTCTAACAAGTAGTTTTACAAATGGCTTCACACAGAGGTGGGTTTAATTACAGAAAGACAAACCAGCCATTTTATCCTTCAGATGTCCTGGACATCATGAGCCTGGGGGATGCTGGGCTTTTTGGGGTCGATGTTGTGCCTGAGTACAGCACAGGGAGCACCCATCCTCACCAAGGGGCTGGTCTGAGTGTGAGGCCCCTGTGACAGCCTTGGAGGGGGAAATATAAAGGAACACCTCCTCACTGCAAATGTCTTCCCACCAGAGCTGCAGAGGGGAATGTGTTTAGTTCAGAGCTCAACCTGTCCCTGTGCCCTATGGATGCAAAGCTGCCCAAAGGCGGTGTGGCTGGCAGGGAGCAGGGCAGGCACCACAGCAGCTGCCAGGGTGTGAGCTGAGTGTGTGCACAGAAGCCTGAGGAAGCACCCGGGCAGCGGGGCTGAGGATGCCTGTGCCAGATTGGGGAGTTTCATCTGGACCAGCTTCCCAGGATGACATTTTTATTCACTTTTGTCAGTTTCCTGAGAAACCACCACATCTGTCATAGCAGAAGCTCTCAGAAGCCTTTGGTCTTGCCAGGACTTTTAGACACAAGTTTTGGGAGAGCACTTGTTGTGGTTCAAGCCCAGCTGGCAACTTGGAACCACGCAACCGCTCGCTCACTCCGCCCTCGTCCTTCCTCTCCCCGCTCCCGGAGGGAGGGGGAGGAGAATCGGAGGAATGTACCTCCCACGGGTTGAGATAACAGCTCTCCAGTAACTAAGGTATAATACAAACCACTACTGCTACCAATAATAATGATAAGAGGAATAACAAGGGAACAGGACTCAAGTGCTCACCACCCGCTGACCGATACCCAGCCCGACCCGAGCAGCGATCTGGGCCTTCCGGGTAACTCCCCCCCGTTAATATACTGGGCATGACGTGCTGTGGTATGGAATCCCCCTTTGGCCAGTTTGGGTCAGGTGTCCTGTCTCCGCTTCCTCCTGGCTTCCCCTCCTCCCTGGCAGAGCATGAGACTGAGAAAGTCCTTGGTCAGAGTAAACATTACTTAGCAACAACTAAAAACATCGGTATTATCAGCGTTGTTCCCAGGCTGCAAGTCAAAAACATAGCACTGCACCAGCTACTAAGAAGGAGAAAAAATGACTGCTGTAGCTGAACCCAGTACAGCACTGTAAAGGGTAAGGAAACACCGCACTTTCAGTGCAAAGAGATAAAATAAAACATTCATCGAGATAGTAGCAGAAATAACATGTTTATGTGTGGATTACTGAGTAGTACAAGAACATTGGTCAACAAAACCAGTTCCTCAGTGCGCACCAGTGCCCCATGTTTTCCCCGTGTGAAGATCTCTAGTGAAAAGCACACGGACATCAGCCTGAAAACCTGCTGTTTATGAGTGTCAGGAGCCAGTCTCCCCTCCTGACCTTATTCCAGCCCTTGGCCACAGCACTTAGCACCCTCCAAGAAGTGGGCAGCCTGGGCAAGCCCTGGGACACCCTCAGCCACCCATGGGCAGTCCCTAAGGCTGGGACCAGACAACACCAGCAGAGCCCTCAATCACCATGTGGGGGGAGAGCTGGGTGCATCACACCGTGGCTGGCAGGGTGTGAGGGTCCAGGCCGCTGAAGCAACCAAAAAACACATAGCAAATGATCCTGCAGCATTATTCCAAGGGGTGTGGCTGCAGGGAGCCCTCCTCCACATGTCCCCGTGGTGGGAAGCAGGGACTGAGGAGGCACTGAGGCAGTGGCTGGTGCCTGGAGACTCTGCTGCAGCGTGGGGTTGCCTTGCCCCACGGCAGTTGGGGTCCCTCAGAGAGCACAAGACCTATCTCCTGCACTGGCTCGGGTGCCAGGGTGCACCCAACAGACACAGCAAAAAACATTCCAGAGGATGTTTTGGAAGATGCACCTTCGCATTCACTCAGGCAGATGGTCAAGGTTTCCCTGAATGGGGTCTGGGATTGTGCTAAACCCACACATGCTCACCTCTCTGACAGAACACAAGCATAATAACCAGAAACTCTGCTTTTTGGCTCTTTGCCTCGCTGGGGATCCAGATGCCCACGTTAGGAGTATGTATATATGTGTGTGTGTATACTTATATATGAGTATATGGATACAGATGTACAATGTTGTGTGTATAGTGCTCATACATATGTCAAGTATCATGAGACCAAGACTGATAAAATATATGAAGACATATGATGGTTGGGATCGGCCCAACAGTAAATACATCTGGGCCTGTGGAACGCTCTGCTATGGCGTAGGTACAGGTATTGCTGCCTTTCTGGGGTGGGCCTGCTTGAGTAATTAGCCAAATGACCCTTCTACACAAACACAGCTTCCCAAGAGCTCCAAAATGCTTCAGGGTCCACACTTTATGGCCACCTGGTAGATGACTGTCACCTGTTCAATCACCCCCTAAAGGACGCTTCCAGCATTGTAGCAGAAATCAAGCTGGGGAGGGATTTCCAATAGAGCTGTTTCATCTCTCCTGAATCCAGCTTCTACCTTTCTTTTTGGCAAAACATACCTAGACACCTTCTCCCTGCCCCACACATTGCTGTTGCAGCTAGTCACATCTCAGGTTTTGATGGCATGCAGCAAGCCAGCCTCCAGCAGCATCCCACCCTCTATGGCATTGGCATTTAACTGTGAAACCTGTGAGGGTATCTGGAAGTAGCTGCCAGAGGATTAAGTGAAAATGAACGATCTAGGTCTTTATGCAGGGAAGCCCGTTTGGATTTGCATTTCCATGAGTCATGCTGTAAATAGGGAGCTTGAACATGCTGAACCTGCTTGTATTGACACCAGTCCATAGAGATGTTAGGAGGGTACAGGGAGTGCACCTGGGCAAAGGTGGTGGGAGCACCCTACAGCAGAAGGGCTGGCCAAGTCCCCAGCCTGCGCCCAGCCCTGCTCCTGCCTCCCCCTTGCTGCCCACCAGCTCTGGGCAGTGGGCACTGCTGGGGGACCCTGAGCCCTCTTGATGGATCCCTCCTGCTGCTCAGGGTTCCTGTGGGCTCTTTGGGCCACCTGAGCCAGCCCCTGCACTCACCCCAGGGGAATGCCCTGCGAGCATTACCCTCTGCAGTTCCAGCACCAACTTTCCCAGGCCATTTGCTCCAGAGTCAGGAAATGTCACGTTTGTGATGACCTCCATCCTTCTCCTGCCTCCCCATCTCTGCCTGGAAAACACAGCCCACTTCCCGCAGTTCAGGATGTATTTTTCTTCATCGCCATAGCGACGTCATGTAAATATTTGGGGCTAGTGGGGTTTTGATCAGATTTTGAAAGTCTAGAAGAGGCTGGCAAACCCATTGTTTATGTTACTGCATTTCACACAGTCTCATGACCTGCAGTTGAGGTTGAGCAGCCTGAGGGGGTGGCTGGTCTGGGATGTGTGCTAGGAGCATGGGCACTTGTTATTTCGCTGGTGTGTGTCGGGTTGCCAGCTGAAGCAGCTCATTTCAAGCCATAGCCTTGTGAATGCTGCACCAGGAAACCATCACAGGAATGAAATGCCCAGGACCCCAGGGATTCATCACATTCGCCTGGAGGCTGAAATGAGACCCCAGTTGCCTTTCATGTATGCCCTTGCCCTATCCTCAAATGTGATTTATTCTGGTGGTGAATAGTGGGCTGACTTTGAATCATTTGAAAAGAGCTGGTCTTTCTAAGAGACAGCCTTATAAAAACACCATGTCCTGGGCAGATTGGAGGAGACAGAAGAGAGAGATGCAGGCTACACAAACTCAGCAGAGTTTGCCATCTGTTCAAGAAGCCAGGGGTTTATTTTTCATATTTCCAATGATAGTTTTGTGTTTGAGTTTGTTTTGGGGGGGT